TTGTGCATGGCAAGTAATGTCTGACAAATCTTTGAGTTTTTCGAAGAGGTAACCACGAGGATAGTTGAGGGTAGGGCAGTGGATGTTGTCTATATGGACTTCAGTAAGGCCTTTAACAAGGTCCCACAAGGCAGGCTAGTCATGAAGGTTAGATTGCATGGAATTCAGGGAGAGCTAGCTAATTAGATTCAAAATTGGCTCAATGGTCAGAGGCAGAGGCTGATGGTTGAAGGTTGTTGTTCAGACTGGAGGCCTGTGACTAGTGGTATGCCACAGCAATTGGTTTGGGACCTTTGTTACTTATTATTTACGTAAATGATCTGGATGTGAATGTATAAGGCATGATTAGTAAGTTTACGGATGATACAAAATTAGGAGGTATCGTTGATAGCCAGGAAGGTTATCAAAAATTACAGAGGGATTTTGATCAGATAGGGAAGCAGGCTGAGGATTGGCAAATGCAATCCAATGCAGATAAGTGTGAGGTGTTGCACGTTGGCAAGTCAAACCAAGGTAGGACTTATACAGTAAGTGGTAAGGCCCTGAGGAGTGATGTGGAACAATGGGACCTAGGAGTACAAGTACATAGTTCGTTGACAGTGGTGTCACAGGTGGACAGTGTGGTGAAGGAGGCATTTTGCATGCTGGCCTTCATCGGTCGAGGCATTGAATATAGAAGTTGGGATGTTATGTTACAGTTGTATAAGTACTTGGTGAGGCCGCACTTAGAGTATTGTGTAAAGTTTTGGTCACTCTGTTATAGGAAAGACATAATTAAACTAGAAAGTGTGCAAAGTAGACTTAGGAGGATGTTGTCAGGACTAGTAGGCCTGAGTTATAGGGAGAGGTTAGCCAGGATAGACCTTTATTCCTTGGAACGTAGGAAAATGACGGGTAACCTTTATCGAGGTGTATAAAATCATGAGTGCATATATAGGATGAATGCATATAGTTTTTTTTTCCCCAGAGATGGGGAATCGAAAACTAGAGGGCATAGGTTTAAGGCAAGAGGGGAAAGATTTAAGAAGGACCTGAGGGGCAACTTCTTCGCGCAGAGAGTGGTGCGTATATGGAATGAGTTGCTAGAGAAAGTGTTTGAGGCAGGTACAATAGCAACATTTAAAAAACATTTGGATTTGTACATGGATGGGAAGAGTTTGGAGGGATATGGACCAAATGTGGACAATTGGAACTAGCTGAGTGGGCTCCATGGTCAACATAGACCAGTTTGGGCTGAATGGCCTGTTTCCATGCTGTGTTACTCTATGACTTGATTCTTCTTTTGTACTAGGCATGATTCCAACCAGAGAGATTTCCCTTGATTGTGATTGACTTCAGTTTTATTAAGTCTTCTTAATGTCATTCTTAGTCAAATGCTGTTTTGATGTCAAAGACAATCATTCTTGCCTGTTAGCATGTATTGTGTATGTTTGGATCGAGTGTTTGATGAGGCCTGAAGTCAAGTGCTTCTAGAAGAGCCTCAATTTAGTATTAATGAGATCTTGTTGATTAAGTGTCTCCTGATAGCAGTACCAACACATCTTACATTACTTTCTTTTGGTTGAGAATAGACTGATAGGTCTGAAATTGGCTGGATTGGATATGCCTTTCTTGTGGGCAGGATAGCTGGGCAATTTTCCACATTGTTGAATAGATGCTATTTTTGTTGCTGTACTGAAACAGCTGGATTAGGGGCACAGCTAGTTTTAGAGCACCTGTTTTCAATAGTATTAGGATAGTAATAGGACATTGTCAGGGCCCATACCCTTTGTTGTGTCCAGTATTTTCAACTGTTTATTCAGATCACATAAACTGACTTGAATTTTAAGATTGGCAAAGATGAACCATCTGTTTACCTTTAATGGAGGTCGTTTCCAAATGCTTCAGTCTTGGCTTTTGCATTGAGATCTGGGGCTCTGCCATAATTGAGGCTGGGGGTGTTTGCATTGCTACCGTCTCCAGTTAGACCTTTAATTTTCCACCACTGCTGGGTGTGGTAGGATTAGAGAGCATTGATCTGACCCAATGGTTCTGAGGTATCTTTGCTCTATCAATAGCATGCTGCTTCCAATGTTTATCATGCACATAGTCCTGTAGGTAGGTCACCAAGAAGGCACCTTGTTTTTAGGCATCCCTAGAACTGCACCTGGCTAGTCTCCTCATTGAACCAAATTTGGTCCCCTAGCTTAATAAGGGCAGAATGAGGGATCTGTCAAGCCACAGGTTACTTTGTAGTTGACCATAATTCTGCGCTCCTTCTGTGGCTCACGGAATGCTCATGAACGCTAGTTTTAATCTGTTCTGTTTTGAATTCCATTTAACGTGAGGATAGTGCCACATAACATGATTGACACTGTCTCATCAAGTATTATGGAGTGGTTGTTCTCACCAGATCAATGGATGAATACATCTGTAACAGATTGATGAGGATGGGGTAAAGTTAAATTTTTCCCCTCTTGTTGGTCCACAGGCCCAGTATGGAAGTTATGTTCTTCAGAGCTTAGCGACCTTGGTCAGTAGTGATGTGAATGAGCCAGTCTTGATGATGGACGTGGTCAAGTCCCTTGCTGGAGTACATTCTGTGTCATTCTTACCCTCAGTGCTTCTTCCAAGTGGTGTTCAACATGAAGAAACGTTGATTCATTAACTGAATGGAGTCTGTAGATGGTAACTAGCAGGAGGTTTCTTGCCTATGTTTGACCTGACATTTTTGTACTTCATGGGGTTTGGAATCAATGTTGAGTGCTCCCAGAGTCATTCTCTCCTGACCCTATATCATTGTGCTACTACCCGTTGCGGATCTGGTCAGGACACATCTAGAAATAGTGATGGAGAATTCTGGATTTGATATGATTTGGTGAATATGATTATGTCGGGCTTTACTTGTCTTCTTTGTGGGGCATTGCTCTTAATTCTGGCACATAACTGCAGACATTTGTGAAAAGAAGTTTGCAGAGTTGACTGGTCAGGGTATGCCTTTGTTAATTTTGTGTCTAAATTGGTGTAAAGTGTCCATGCAGATTGTTTTAAAAAAAACTTTTCTACAGAGTCGTGGTCAGGCAATTTGAGGGCATTTATGAATCAAGCACCTTGTTATCTAATACTGTCTGTAAAAATACTTGCAGAATTTATTAAACTATATTTCAAGAGTTTTAAAGCATTTTATTTTGCTGTTACTTAATTATGTAATTGCACCTGAATTAAGACAACTGGTTAAAAATGTTTCGGAAGGGGGAAAAGATAGGGTTTGCACACGAAGGGATGGCAGTACTTAACTGGGGAAGACGCTTATGTTAGAGATGATGTCCTTGTTCTTGGGTTCAAAGTCAACATCCAAATGGTTTGAATTGAAAATCCAAAAAAGCTGTGCTCAAACACTAGTAATAGTCTATAATCTGCCATATATTGAGGGAGACTAACATGATTAGAGAAGCAAATCACAATAAATACAAGAACCATTGAATGATCATATTCAGGGACACATTGCTGATGGAAAGGCTAAGAGGAAGGCAGGAATTTCTGAAATATGAATCAGGAGAAATTCTTTAAAATTATATTACCTTAATCTAACTTGGAAGCAGGTGAAGTTGAATCTGTTACTAGGGAATGAGATCGGCTAAATTGTATAGTGGAGCATTTATATAAGAATAAACTTTGTATCATAAGGCTCAAATCAGCAATTGTGAAATACAAAGAATTAACTAAAGTAGAACGTGTGAACTGAAAGAGGGCTAACTTCAAAGGTTTGAGAGGGGATCTAGCCAGAGTCAAACAGAATCAAAAATATTCTGTTCAACAAGAGAACAGTGGGTGATCTTTCTGGAGAAAGTATTTTAAGTACAGACCAAGTATATTCCAATAAAGGCAAAAAGTAAGCCAACAAAAGTCAAGCCTTCTTGGATAATGAGGGAGTGAGAAAAAGACAGTGTATGATATACATCTGGCAAATTCTTCAAGGGAGAATCAGGCCAGATATCATAATTTGATAGCGGGTGTGAAGAAAAAAATAAGACTGTCAAAGTCAATGAGATCAGAATGGCAGTTAACATTAATGGGAAGTCAGAATTCTTTTTTGTGAACAATACATTATAAGAGGCAGATGGGGTCTCCATGGGGCAAAGAAGGTGATATGCTTAAGAGTTTTATTTAAGAAAGAATGCTGAGGGCATTCCACATAACCATAGACTAGTCAGTTTACCATCAGTGATGGGTAATGTTAGTAATAGAGAGAAAATAAACAAGCATTTAGAAATATTTCAGTTAGCTAAGGACAGTCAGTATGGATTTGTAAGACAGATAACGCTCGACTAACCTGATTGAATCTTTTGATGAAATAACATAAAGTTGATGAAGGGAAAGCAATATTGTCTATATTTAATAAAGTATTTGACATGCATCACAAAAAGACTGGTTAACAAATTTGAGACTGTTGGAGTAGGAGGGTCAAAGTCAAGTTGAATCAAAAATTGCCTGGAGGAGAGATACCAGCAAGTTTTGGTAGATGCAAGGGTGCTGTGGTGATGACCCAGATGAATGATTTTAAAAAGAAATTGAGGGTTCTGATTTTGCAATGCTACAAGGGAAGAGTGAGGAATTGGACTCCTGTAGACATTGCTCTTTCAGGAGTCAACATGAATTTTATGGGTCATGTGGCTGTGTCATATATGCAAATAATCTTATGCATCTGTGAAAATTAATTATGAAGTTGCCATATATTAATGTGTAATAATTTCTGAGTAAAACGTTGAAGGTAGTGTAACAAAGCTTTCTTTGACTCCATGGTGGGAAGTTACTATTTCTGCTCATTGTTCATGAGCATCTGAGTTGGAGAAGAGTTATGATTTCTTGGCGATAGAATGAACAGTGGGATGGTGAAAAATCTGTTCACTTTTAAACATGCATAATCGTTTTGTAACAAGATGAAAGTTGTGTTTTGAGCATACAATTTACATTGATAAACTTTCAATTACTTATTATTTGAGTTTACTATTGTTCCATAGAGAGTGGTTTTTCCTGCTTTCCCATGAAGTTCTCAATCCAATGTACTGCTTGTTTGAATACGCTGGAAAGAACAACTACTGTCTGCAGATAAACCCTGCATCATCAATTAATCCAGATCACTTGACCTATTTTCGTTTTATTGGAAGGTTCATAGCAATGGTAAGTATGAAGATGGATGTAATTGAAATATAGCGTGTGTAACCACATGCATTCTAAATACCGACAGTCAATTCCAAAGCACACATGACCAAAGTTGTGTTAAAACAATTTTTGGGATTTCAATTTTAGATCTGGAACCTGTAAATTTAAATATTTGCATCATTGAAGTTCCATTTCTGCCAAGTTGAATGCAAGTCTCCCAGAAATACTTGGAAGCAAGCATGTATTTCTAAGGTCCTTTCATAACTTAAGAAAGCACCAAACCATTTCAGAACCATTGAAGTACTTTGGAAGAACTGTTGTAACGTAGGAAAAACCGGTAGTCAATTTCCATACAAATAATTGCTTGGTAGTATAGAACTTAACCATTGCTGAAAAGGGACACAAAGTTGAAGCTTTTTGTCTTCCATTTCTTAGAACTAGGACACAAGAAACCATACTCACAAAGGAACACCAATTTATTCAGCATGAGAAGGTGGCTGTGATTGGTTGAGCAGTTGTTGGCAGAGATATAGCAGGAATAGTTAATTGTCAATTTTAGTTTTCAGACCTGGAAGGTAACTTTGATTAGTCAGGGTGTTGTCATAAAGAATTCATACATTTTATCATTGTAAAAGAGGTGACAGAGACTGCCAAATTTTTTTTTCACTGTTTAATTTCTATACAGCATTATCAAGGAATTTATTTATCTTAGTGATGTTGATTGAACAATAAATATATTGAGATCTCTGTGTCCTTCAGTTTCAGCATTTTGTGCGCCCTTGATTTTAATCACTCTACCATTGGTGACCAAGCCTTTAGCAGTCTGTGGACTATGCTGATGATGAACTTTCCCCACAAAATCTCCTTCCTTTAAAACCGATCTCTTTGACAAGTCAGCTGTTCTAATATTTCATTACATGGCTTGGAGCCCAATTTTATTATGAAAACATACCTGGGATGCACCTTGTAATGTTTTATCACATTTAAAAGTGCAATATAAGTGCAAGTTAACAGTGTGGAACTGGAGGAACACAGCAGGCCAGGCAGCATCAGAGAAGTAGGAAAATTGACATTTCGGGTCAGCACCCTTCAAGTTGTTGTTATCATTAGAACAAAGGAATGTGGACCATCCACGCCCTCGAGCATTTTCCATATCTATACCCTACTTTCATCTTTCTGCATTGGTTTCATAACCCTTAGGAGAAGGCGTGTTTCAGACTTCCAGTACTGTCTGAAGTAATGATTTCTGACATTGCCTGGCTTCATATCACATGGTTCTAGTTGTAAGATTATATTCCTTTGTTTTGAAGTCTCTCACCAGTGAAAAGAGTTTCTCTCTCTATCCTGTCATATTCATTGATTATCTTAAATGCTTCAATTACAGCATGTCTTATTCTTTTATATTTGTGAGAGGACACCATGAGATGCATCCTGTCTTCATGATTTAACCTTTATGACCCAAAAGCAATTCTAGTGAATTCTCTGCTGCCCCTAGCCCTTTCTTGGGCCCAAAGTGCACCTCACACTGCTGCTTTGAACCCATCAGCTGTAGTTTTTCCCATTAACTTAATCTAGCAATATCTCTGCAATTTTTTTTGCATCTAGCCAAACTATTAGTGTACGAAATGAATTGGTGTGATAAGCAAATTTATATATGCCCCTCTGTACCTTTATCTGAGCCACTTATAAGTACAATGAGAAGGTGAAATCACAGTTCAGATCCCTGCGCAATTCTATTTATCATAGAATTTCTATGCTATAAACACACAAAACTTGACTACATTCTCATTTTCCACCTCTTTGTCTCCCATCCAGGCAAATAGTTAGTTCCAGTAATTTTTTGTGCTCTCATTGTTACCATTGGTCTCTCAACTGGAACTTAGTTGAATGTCTTCTAGAAGTTCTTATAAATATATCCATAGGTGCACCCTTATCAAACACATTTGTTATTCCGTCAAAAAATTCAGCTAGGAATAGGAAGAACATCCCTCTATAGATCCATGTTGACTCTCCCTGATCAAGTCATCTTGGACAATGAACTAACCAATTGCCCCAAATATGGTGTTACATCTTTGTCTAGCACAAGTGAGGATCTCAAAGATATTTTTGAAAGGTGACAGTCTGTTTGTTTCAAATATTCCTTATGACTACTTGGAGGTCTTGATGAGTGCTACTTTCAGCTTTCTCAAAGTATTTCTGTAAGCTGTATTATGAAACCTTGCCTTAACTCAGCTTGTATGTTTTGTTTACTTCTAGGCTCTTTACCATGGTAAATTTATTGATACCGGATTCACATTGCCATTTTATAAGTGTATGCTGAATAAAAAGCCTACAATGAAGGACTTAGAATCAATTGATCCAGAGTTCTACAATTCTCTGCTGTGGATCAAGTAAATATAACTTTGTATTTGAACTTACAGTGCATTTACATAATTTGTTGTAAAATGATGCAAGTATATATTCTAGGCATACTGAAATTGGTCATTTTAATCTTATGTTTCAACCAGTCTCTATTGTTTCAGGAAACGACAGTTGAAGATAGTTAACAGCGGGTATAGTGAAGCATAAGTTTGGCATTATTTCTCAAGAAATCAATGTAAAATTGAATGAAAGCAAAACACTGCAGATGCTAAAGATCTGAAGTAAAAATGAAAAGTGCTGGAGAATTTCAGCAGGTTTGAAAGCATCTGTGGAGAGAGCAACTGAAGTTATTATTTCAAAATCAACGACTTTTCTTTGGAACCCGGTTTATTGGCTCTGTTTCACTCTCCATGCTTATTGCCAGATCTGCTTCCAGCACTTTCTGTTTTTAATGAAAAATTGAAGACTGGATGGTATTAGTGATTGTGCTATGCTTAATTTATTTTTTAAACATGACTTCATTTTTCTCCATTTCAGGGAGAATAATGTCGAAGAGTGTGGTTTGGAGTTGTATTTTGCTCAGGATATGGAAATCTTAGGCAAAGTTACAAGCCACGAGCTGAAGGAAAACGGGGAAAATGTTATGGTCACTGAAGAAAATAAGGAGGAGTACATGAGGTTAATGATTTTAAATATTTTGTACAATCTTAATTTAGAAATCCATTTTCATAGCCCACGAAAGGACAACTGTATTCCAGTCGGATTGTGAAAATTATTACTTAAAGCTGCTTACTATAAATATATTCCATCAGGAATATTCTTTTGTAATACTGTAGGGTTATGGAAGTTTTCTATATTAATCGATGTTTAGATGGAATGTTTTGTTTAGGATATGTCAAAGTTGTGTTAGTCTGGATCAAACTCAGTTTTCAGTATTATATTTCAAAGAAAAAGTTTGAAAAGAAGGAGCTTCTATGAACATTGAATACAAAACAAGACACTAGCAATCTCATCACTGGCACTTGACTGATTTCATTGTGTATTAATGGCAGTTTTTAGCTTTAAAGAGGTAATACAAATGAACCTTGCACAGTGTACTAAATCATGACCTGGTACTAGAATTCATCATTTGATCTATTATGAGCAGTACCACAGGATATATGTTTGTTCTATTTAATCCATGTTGCATACACTATTATTTGTCATGACACAATTCTATGACATGTGATGACTCACATTTCCGCATTTCATTTTGTACACAACTTCTTGATTGCCTTAAATTTATTATGGCTAAAGGACCAACAAATTCAGAACCATAGACAGGAGTATAAAGGAAATTAAAAGTGTGCAAAGTAAGCATATCAAATTGTTATTTAACCAATCCTCTTGAACCTTTAGCTGCTGTTGTTCCCCCCAAAAGTACTTATATAGGTTTCTGTTTTTAACATATCAAAAACTGTGATATTTTTGAGTTTAAAGTTTTCTTAAACAATGTCTAATCTTGTTTAGAACGTATTATGCATTTCAGAACAATCTCTCATCCTACTAGTGTAGATTTTAAATTGTTAAATTCAGATCTATTGTTATCTAATTTAAGGTTAGGAAAATATGGCAGTTTTCGGCAAAATTACCTATGAATCACTTCACTTTTCTCGCAGTCTTCTATCTCCAGACAAGAGGGATTATTGACTTGTTTCACCCTACTATTGCTCTACGCCAATTAGGAGTAATATTGCTGATAGCAATGGAGACAGACAGTACTAATTTATATGACTGCTCAGAGATGATCATGAAATTGATTTGCTTGTTGATAGGCCACATCCAGAGTACAACAGTCATTGATACCATTATCTTACTAATTAAGGTGGACGGGGGTAGTATTTTTATTCCTGTTTGCTAGACTGTTTGTCTTTAAGCAATGTATCTTAGATGTTAATGGACAGATATCAATCTAAATTGGTACACAGATAGGGAATGGCCCAAGAAGAATTAATTTTTTTTTGTGAAGATATGACTCTGGATCTGGATCCAGAAATGTTTTTGAGAATCTGTTAACATAGGGAAATAGAGTGAATGGACCTCTCCTGTAGAATATTGTTGCCTTTTAAAAGAATGTTATTGTTTGTTTTAGAATGTTGATGATTATCCTAGCTGCTGTCTTGGAATTTAGCACATCTGTGAATTTTGAGCAGAGTTTTCAGAAGCAGGATGTTAGTTGTGAATTAGCTGAAGCTCTTAATAAAATGATTTCTTTTTCAGCTTTGTAATTACAGAGCATTGTTCACACGGAAAAACCTCAGTGAAGAGCTGCATAATAATAATAGCGTTAGTGCAGTCTGGTGGGGGTATGCACTCCACTTTTTTTATGTTGTGCATTAGACAGTCTATACCATATCTCCAGTCAACAGTGCTAGATTGACTAAAGAATTCCTGACAAATTGCAAAATCAGTGAGACAGCTTCTAATTTCATAAAATAAACATGGAACATTTAAACCATTGCCCCAAAAATCTGTTTATTATCTGAGTTTACAAATATATATTAGCCTTAACCACTTCTAAATATTTGCAACAATGTACATTCAATTAATTTGTTTTTTAACTGTAGGCTGCTGACAGACTGGAGATTTACTCGTGGAGTTGAGGAACAGACCAAGGCTTTCTTAGATGGCTTTAATGAGGTGGTACCATTAGAATGGCTGCGATATTTTGATGAAAAGGAACTAGAGGTAAAAAGCTTGTTTTGAAGTTTGTCTTATGGCTGACTACTCATACAGTATGATGTAAGATGCACACAATGAAAAATAGCTAGAAAACAGGCTGATTTCCTCTCCTAGGCAAATTTATTAGGATTGAAACATTTTAAATCACTCTGTGGTGAACAGGTTTTCAAAAACCACTCAAAAATCTGTGTGCTGATGCATTTTTTAAATTGGTGACAATTTTAGATAGTTTTTAAAGATAGCGGGTTAACTTTAGTTTCTTTTATTTCCATAGACTCATAGAGTCATACACCATGGAAACAGACCCTTTGTCCAACTACCTATTTACAGGGAAGGTTGCAGTTAGGATTGCTGGTTAGACTGGTCAAGGTCAAGATCGATTGTGTCCTTGAATAAGTAAAAGGTACAATATTTTCTTTGTCCCTTTGAAAGAAATGGAAGGAAATGAAAACATAATGATGTGCGTCAGCCACTGCACTGTGGAAAATGCTGAAGGTTCCAAATGGAAATTTAGATATGAAGGTGGTTGATGAATGGGACTGAAATCATCTACTTAAAGTCTAAATTGACTGGTCAGTGGAGAAGATTATTGCTATGAAGAGGAATAATATGAATTAGGCAGCTTGCTGTAATAATAGAAAAAAGAATGAGGGTAAACCATTAAGTTCAAAGAAAAATGGAGCAATTTGATAGACAATTGTAATACTTGTGAAATATCATATAATGGCAGTGTGTTTGGATGTTAATGGTGCCAAACTTCACAGAAATGTCCAAGGTAATGATGGAGGAGTCATCTAAATCAGCTCAGAAATGCATAACATGTGAGTAAGGTCACCAATAGAATAACTGTGTGGAAGAACATACTAACACAGACCTTTAACAAGTCTGTATTCTTTGGGATCAGACTAATGGATGGGAATGGTGCAGTTCCTATCAATCTCTATAGGAGCTAGGGGAACGTTAATGGAGCCTGTTTTCTGATGCAACCTGGGTAGTTATCATTTCTGATGGGGTTTTCCCATGGATCTTTTATATCTACCAAGAAGTATAATTACATAATTATAACTATATGACATTTGGAAGATGATAGTGGGTCAGGTTGCACAAGCTGAAAGATTGGGTTTGTATTGATGGGGCCTGATGGTCTTTCCTTGCTTTTTTCATCTGGATTAAGATAGAACTTTAAAATGGTGGATTGCATGAAAGTTGGTAGCAGCTTTCATAACTTTAGAAAGGATTAATGTCAGAGTAACCAGTTTGAAGGGTAAAGAAGATCACCTTTTGACAAACCATACATCTTGGGTTTCAGTTTTTCAATGGAATGACCTTTCACTTGAAGACTATATCCATGTTGTATCATTATATCTTAATTAAATTCAGCTGGGAGTCTTTATATTAGAATAGTTGCTCTTTAAAATGTAGTGTAGCATTTCTATGCTATAAACACACAAAACGCAAAAAATGATTGATATCTTGAATTGTATCTTGATTGTATTATGATTTCAAGTACATTCTCTAGAAATAAAGCAAAATTGCCGGACGTAGGAATTTTTTAACTTCTTGGCCAATTTTAGTTTTTCTCCATTGAATACGGGCATAAAAAACATATTTTAACTCCTCATTGAGCTGTGTACTTGTCATAAAATAAACAGCTCGTGATATATAAAGAGGTCTATTTGCTTCATTTTTTACCTTTTTATTACAAATTCCCATTCTTCACTATGTAATGAATGACAGTAATGCTGGACAAGTCAGATCCCAGAGTAAGACCTTGTTTAATAGATAAAAAAATTGGATTTTAATGAGCCAAAATCCTTTGGATAAACTTGCAATTGGTATACCCGAAACGTTGATTTCTCCTTTCCTCCAGCTGCTGCCTGACTTTTGTGTTCTTCCAGCCTACTGTTTGTTCCCGTTCTGAGGAAGGGTCACCGGACCCGAAACGTTAACTCTGTTTTCTCCTTCACAGATGCTGCCAGACCTGCTGAGCTTTTCCAGCAACTTTGTTTTTGCTCCTGTTTGTCTACTTGATTATAGTGGTGGTTTCCTCCAGCTGCTGCCTGACTTGTTGTGTTCTTCCAGCCTACTGTCTGTCTATAGTGGTGGTTAGCATATCTCACTTTTATTTTCTTCTGTGTGGACCTTTAAAGTTCATGTGTAGCAGTGAACTCCAGAACCAGAAGTCAATGTCATGATAGGTGTTGGCGCGCCAATCAGCCTGCGCAGAACCTTGAAATAGCTGCACACATGCGCCGCCATGTAGCTTTGATGGTATGTTGGTGGTGGTTAGCCGCTGAAACTTACTCACATAAGCCTGAATATGTTTAGAAAGGACTTAACTAAACAGCAAAACAAGATTTCAACCTGTTTCCCACAATATGCTTTAGATATACTCATCCCAGAGAAATATCCCTTTCCTTCCGGGACAGCTGTAACAGTTTTATGATTTCTTTCCAGTTTTAGTTGCCTGGACTTCCTTTAAGTTGTCAGCTTGAAAACCTCTATACAAACTCTGTCAGCTTGTAGACTGTACAAAATACAATTCTACGTAGAGTCGTAGAGATATACAGCACAAAAACAGACCCTTCGATCCAACTTGTCTATGCCAACCAGATATCCTAAATAAATCTCATCCCATTTGGCTTACGTCCCTTTAAACTCTTTCTATTCTTACACTCATCCAGATGTCTTTTAGATGTTGTAATTGTACCAGCCTCCACCACTTCCTCTGGCAGCTCATTACATACACGCACCACCCTCTGTGTGAAAAAGTTACCCCTTAGGTCCCTTTTAAATCTTTCTCCTTTCACCTTAAAACTATGCCCTCTAGTTTTGGACTCCCCCACCCCAGGGGAAAGACCTTGTCTATTTACCCTATCCATGCCTCTCATGATTTTATAAACCTCTGTAAGGTCAACCCTCAGCCTCCGACGCTCCAGGAATAGTAGCCCCACAGTCTGTTCAGCCTCTCCCTATAGCTCAAACCCTCCAATCCTGGCAACATCCTTGTAAATATTTTCTGAACCCTTTCAAGTTTCACAACATCCTCCCTATTGCAGGGAGGCCACAATTGCATGCAGTATTCCAATAGTGGCCTAACCAATGTCCTGTACAGCCGCAACATGATATGCCAACTCCTATACTCAATGCACTGACCAATAAAGGCAAGCGTACCAAACGCCTTCTTCACTATCCAATCTACCTGTGACTCCACTTTCAAGGAACTATGAACCTGCACTCCAAGATCTCTTTGTTCAGCAACACTCCCCAGGACCTTACCATTACGTGTATAAGTGCTGCCCTGATTTGCCTTTCCAAAATGCAGCACCTCACATTTATCTAAATTAAACTCCATCTGCCACTCCTCGGCCCATTAGCCCATCTGATCAAGATCCCGTTGTACTCTGAGCTAACCTCCTTCACTGTCCACTACACCTCCAATTTTTGGTGTCATCTGCAAATTTACTAACCATACCTCCTATGTTCACATCCAAATCATTTATAGAAATGACGAAAAGCAGTGGAGCCAGCACTGATCCTTGTGGCACAGCGCTGGCCACAGGCCTCCAGTCTGAAAAGCACCCCTCCACCACCACCCTCTGTCTTCTACCTTCAAGGCAGTTCTGTATCCAAATAGCTAGTTCTCCTTCTATCCCTCTGATCTAACCATGCTATCCAGACTATCATGAGGAACTTTGTCGAACGCTTCTAGGGTGGATTGAACACCCGACTTTTCTGAACGGGGCTGAGTGGAGGAGATCATTGATAATATTATGAATGAGTGGAACCACCACCAAAACAGAAACAAAAAACAAGAAATTACTGAAATAACTGCATTTTTAAAGTAAATTAAAATTCCAGGAAAAAGACATTAGCTGTTACACTTCAACATATGTGGTTTATTAGGAATGGTATAGTTTCTGGAAATTAGTTCATACCACGCTCTAGGTTTGGATTAGAGTCATTTTAATGAGCCAAAATACTTTCAGGATGGGATATTGTTTGTGAAAAAGTAAGGAAATTCAGATATTTATATGTCTATAATTAGACATAGAATACTTTATTTGCACCCAAGTTTTCTTATTCTTTTATGCTGATTTTGTTCTTTTAAATACCCAACATGTCTCCTGCGTCTCTGGTAGAGGAAAATGTTTGTTACAACCAAATAGCAGGGTTTCTCTACGATCTTAAACTTTGTCCCTGTCTGTCTGTCTGTTGTCTTGACTTTCAAATATATGAAGTGTTCAGTACTCTTAAATGTTAATACCAACATTTCCCACTTCTAACCTTACCCTGTTCACATTTTCCTCAACTGTTTGGTTTAATTTAATCCTTCCTTCTATCTTTTAAGATTTACCCTAACTTAACTTTGTACTCACTGTTCCATTTCTACAGGTACAACATTCCTTCAAATCTCATCATATTCGTCTACTCCTAAACAATAAACATTTGTTTTACTTCTTTTCACATTGTATTCCATGCGCACTCTTCCATAGCAACCTATTTTAAATTCATAGAGTATACATTTCAACAGAGCTGTTTCTCATAGCATAGTGCTATGAATTCAGTCGCTCTGTTCTTGTTTTTTGGAATACTGTTCTTAACTTTTACCCTTCCTCAAGTGTAACTTCGAAGTGTTTTACTCATCAGTCAGGGTGTTTCTACATATTTTACAATCCATTATTTCCTCTACTTGTGCTTTTTCCAAACTACTTGAGTAGTAGTTGCTATTTTGTTTTTGAATTACTAGCTCTTATTACTCTATTATTCTTTGTTTGGGTTCTTGCCCTGAAAAGTACATAAATGTTTAGTTGTGTTTCTGTGTTAATGCAAACATTTAAAATAACATTATTTGTCATTTTATGCTAAATAACAGCTTCAGAAAAGATGAAGTATTAAAAACTTATATAATTTCAGGTGGCACAATTATGGCTGTCTGTAGTTTGAAGAATACTTTTGCTTACGTTGTGTTTAGCCAAACATGGCAATTAAATAATTTTTCATTTATTTCCAGTTAATGCTTTGTGGAATGCAAGAAATTGACCTATCTGATTGGCAGAAAAATACCATCTATCGCCATTACACGAAGAACAGCAAACAAATCCAATGGTTCTGGCAGGTGGGCAACAGTTAATTCAATAAGAAAATGGGGCAGATCAGGACTGAGGATATAATTTGTGTTGCTAGAGTTTGTTTGTAGCTGCTACCTATAGTCAGCTTTGAACTGACTTCTAAAGCAAGACCAGAATATTATTTGTCTAATTTGTGCTGAAGATTTAGGCTGTCGCCACCACGTTCGTCAGCATAGGAGCAGGGTTGAATTCTGATTCATAATGCTAGCAATAGTTGGGCAGTACTTTTGCAACTAACTATAAATAGTAAAATGTTTAATTCTGAAAACTTGAGTTTATTTCATTACTTTGTTCCTTTTTTCTGAGCATCTGATGTGATGTTAAATTGTAATAGTTTTTAAATATGTATTGTAGCATTTAATAATTTTAAAAACAGCAAAATATGAAGGAAATATTTCTTCTGTACATTATAATTTAACTAGCTTACAAAGAACATGTTTACCATTTCACAAAAGAAATCTTCCTTCAGTATGATGTAGACATAATGGCCTGAATCTTCCAGGAGCAATAATCGCTGTCCAGTTGTGACTCTTCTTGAAGTTAAACTGTCATGTCTGTAACTGCTGGACCTACTTTTTACAACGTTTTGAGCAAATATGTAATGTCTGTAATTCCCCAATTTTCCGGCACCATGTTTATAGCTAGTGCTTCTGCAATTTCCATTCACACTTCCTTCAATTTCAACTGTCACGCGCTTCAGCATCCTTGGATGCTGAAGTCCATCAAGTCCAGGTGCCTTATTAAATTTATGTACCAACAACTTATCCAATAGCACTTCCTTATCAATTTTAAATCCTTCCAGTGACTGTGTTTTCTCATCTCTCACCACAGCTTGGACAATGCCTGCCTCATAAGTAAAGAGTAGATGTTAAGTATTAATTTAACATCTCAATCATGCCCCTTGCCTCTTTGCATAAATCCTTTCTTTGCTCCCTCATCGGTACCATTCCCTTTTACAATTTATTTTGCTGATGCTATGCTTATAGAAGACTTTTGGATTTCCTTTTATGTTTGCTGGAAAGTCTTCTTTTCAAAATCTCTCGTTGTTCCTCTTGTTTGCTTTTTCATCATACTTCCAAACCTTCTGTTTTCAACTTAGTTCTCAACTGTATTTACTACCTGGCACCTGCCGTAAGCACACTTATTCTTTATTTTAATTTCTATCTTCTTCTTCCTCATCCAGGGAGCTCTGGGTTTGTTTATCCTACATTTCCCTTTTGAGGGAATGTAGCTTGACTGTACTAAAACCATCTCCTAATTTCAAAGAGCCAATTATTCAGTTGTGGCTTTCTCTGCTCCAGTCTATCCTTCTCAGCTCTGTTCTAGCCCCATTAAAATTGGCTTTCTGCCAGTTGATTATTCTTACTCTGGATTGACCAATGTCATTTTCAACTGTCATCCTAAACTTTATGATAGAATGATCACTGTCTCCTATACATTCTGTCACCGACACATCTTCTAATTGGCCCATCTCATTCCCAACAACGAGGTCCAGCAATGCCTCCTTTCTTGTTTGACTGGACACATTGCTGTAAGAAATTTTCCTGAACACCATCCAGGTGATTGTTGTAAAAACCAATCGCGTTCACTGATGTCCTTCAGGGAAAGAAACCTAACATCCTTACCTGGTCTGACCTATATATGACTCCAAACCCTCACAATGTGGTTGACCCTTAATTGGTCTTTGAAAAGACCACTCAATTCATGAGCAATTAGGAATGTACAACAAATAACCAGACACCCACATTCCATAAAACAATAAAGAACGAGATGTTGCCAGACCTGAAGCATCTACAGCATTTTCTGATTGTGTTTCAGATTTGCAGCATCTGTAGCTGCCCCTTATGCTAACACCAGACCATTTGATATATGAATAAATAGTCCTTCATTATGACTACTGTGATGTTTACACTTCTCTGTAATTTCCTTGTTGGTTAGTTCCCCCACATCCTTCCCACCAGCTGATGGTTTATTATACCAAGCAATGTAGTAGCACCCTTATTCCTTATCTCCAGCAAATTGATACAAAAGCAAATGCTCCAGATGCTGCAAATCTGAAACACAATCAGAAAATGCTGTAGATGCTTCAGATCTGGCAACATCTCGTTCTTTATTGTTTTATGGAATGTGAGTGTCTGGTTATTTGTTGCACATTCCTAATTGCTCATGAATTGAGTGGTCTTTTCAAAGACCAATTAAGGGTCAACCACATTGTGAGGGTTTGGAGTCATATATAGGCCAGACTAGGTAAGGATGTTAGGTTTGTTTCCCTGAAGGACATCAGTGAACGCGATTAGTTTTTAACAACAATCATCAATAGTTTCATGACGACAATTCGAGATTAGATTTCAATTCTAGATCATTTTACCACCTTAAGTGATAACATTCAAAATGCTAAATGAATTTGGAAATTTTCTGTTCCATCTGGCTTAGAATTATATTGGACAGTGTTTTCAATCAATAAGGCTTTGGAGGAGTCCATTACTGTGGGAATTTTGTTTCATAATTTCATGACCATTTAAATAATGGAATTGCAATGACTGAACTTGACATTAACATTAAAGTGCTGGAAAATGGGAATAGAATAGTTAGGTGCTTGTGTTAGACTGATGCAGACTCAGTGGGCCAAAGGGCCTTTTTCTGTGCTGTAGAATACTATGACTCTATATCACAGTTTGCCTATGATGACGTTAGTTACCTTGTGCCCTTGACTTATTCTGTTATTAGGTTGTAAAAGAAATGGACAACGAGAAGCGAATCAGATTATTGCAGTTTGTCACTGGCACATGTCGTTTGCCAGTTGGAGGCTTTACAGAGTTAATAGGTAAGAAGTTTTGTTCCAAAGTTTTAGGACACCAGTTCAGTTTTTATGGCTTTGCTTTACACTAAGAACACATTTTTAATGGAGATAGTAGGAACTGCTGATGCTGGAGTCTGAGATAACAAGGTGTAGAGCTGGATGAACACAGCAGGCCAGGCAGCATCAGAGGAGCAGGAAAGCTGACATTTCAGGTCTGGACCCTTCTTTCTCTACACCTTGTTATCACATTTTTAATGGAGTTTTTCACCAAGGCCCTTGATTAACATTCTAAGATATTCTGACTTTCAATTTAAACTTTTTTTGACAGTAAGACATTGAATATGCTGTCTTTATCTAATCACTTGCTTCCACTAACACTGGACTACTAGAAATAACTACTGAGCGATGCATATTGATGACTGTGGTAAAGTGCTCCCAACACCATTCATTGTTCATGCCACCTACTGTTCATCTGCTACAGAAAGTAACTGACCTTATCTCAAAACAGTGAGAATGAGAACTTGGCACAATTGGATTTGGAGGAACAATAGTTCCTTTTGTCCTTCTGTATGTTGGTGATCCACTGCAGTTTCGTTCTTGTGCTTCTAAATTTGGATCTTTTGAATTTTAAGTATACTTGAAGTTGACTTTCCAGTGTGTAGCTTGGCTTTGAAATGAGTTTCTCACCAATATTTGGTTCTGCTTTTGCATAGCTTCAGGTATTCAGATTTCTTGAATTCTTGAACATAATACACTAATAGAAAGGATGACTCCCTGGTATTTAGACATTGAATTGCTAATACTTTATTCTTAAAATGTACACTATTCATAGGAAGCAATGGGCCACAGAAGTTCTGCATTGACAAGGTTGGAAAGGATTCATGGCTTCCAAGAAGTCATACTTGGTAAGTAACAATGAATTAACCTGTTATTCTAAGTGAAGGAAAAATGATTTTTTTTACCCTTGGTCAAATGTGAGTCAGAAATACAGTAATGTGCATGTGAACAGTGGTTTATCATTGGTATTGTATTAACCTGATACTGTTTCTAACAATTGCATTAAGAAGGTGGATATAATTTGACATGGATGCCCACATCCCTCCATATTAATATTGCAATTTAATACTGTAAATAAATTATTTCTACTTGTCTCGACATCCCTTCACTATAATAAATACATTTAATAATTGTCCTGCATTACAACTGCCCGATAAAAGTAATGAAACAACATGAAAAAGAAATAAAGGCTGCATGAGACTTTCTATTGAGATTGGTTCTGCTTGGCATTAATTGTGTAGTAAATTATGCACAAAACATTCAAAGAATACTCTTTCCCAAGCCATGGAGTTCTGCAAATTTTCAATTTATTCAATGTTACACCAAAGGATGTTAATGTTGCCTTATCATACTGGCACTTAAAATACAGTTGTAATATGAATAAGTAAATTAATTCTAATTGCTTCTTATCTATTTCCCTTATTATTCTTACCTAATGTATCCCTACTAAAAGTAACAAAAATAATCTATTGCCCTTTTTCTTCTGGCTGTTAATGTTTTGGAGTTGGAAACAACTTTAACAAATCTGTATTTGCATAGGATAAAAATGACGTGAAAGATAAAGTAAATGTTCTGAAGGTAAAAATGCATCAGAGGCAAAAGAAGTCTGACAAATATATTTATTACCATCCCAAAACATAACATTTTCCAAATAAATAATCTCACCCATGGTATAAACATATATGCCCCCTCTCAAAATCTGTGCAATTTTTCCCTTTCCTATTTTGTAACTGACAATATATCAGAGCAGATAGTTCATTTTTACTGATTCCATAGTATTTATGATTAACTGAGCAATTTTCTTTTCTTTTGGTCCACAGTCCTGTAACATTAAATGCTTATTGCTACATCAAATGCTGAAAATAGTTGCACTTCCACTGCATCTGAATTTTAAAGCTCTGGTTGTATCATGACAAGCTTAGAAAGTGCTGTACTACTTATTAAGGCAGACTTTATACCGATTCATTTCACAATTTTTCGTTGAGAAGGATTCAATTTACAGGCAGATTGATACAGGAAATTAATTGCTTGAAAACAGACACCTTTTATGCAAGAGGGATTTCTGAAATTATTTTTAAAAATCCGTCAAGATATTAAAGTATGTTTGGTGCATATGACTGTTGATTTGGGTTTTTACAGTTTCAATCGCCTGGACCTTCCCCCTTACAAAAGTTACGATCAGCTAAAGGAAAAGCTGATGTATGCCATTGAAGAAACAGAAGGCTTTGGTCAAGAGTAAATGGTTATGTAAGTGTACTTACAGCAAGCTACAGAGAGAAGCCATCAAACAAAACAATTTTGTTCAACTTTCAGAAGACTGTGCCTACCATGAAGAACTTACAGCTTCATTTTGATTCTATGTATTTGTTTTAAGTGGAATCCAGGGAATATTGCGTCTTTTTCTGTTGAGGCTAGCATTCAGCAGATTTCATGAAGAATAATGCACCTTTATTTCTCAAAATTTAAGTTGTACTTGTTTAAGCTATCATATGTTTAAATATAATAACTTCTTTGTGCTTAATCTGAAGTCTTTTTGATAATATATTGTTGCAATAATCTTGTAATTGACAGTTTCCCTTCTAATTCAGAGCAAGTGAACTGAGGTCACTAATTGGATCAATTCAACAATGTGTAAACAGATTTGCAAGTAATATGAATGAGGAAAAGATAATTTGACTTCAGTTGTTTCAAGGTCACTGTAAAGTATCCTGGCGATATACTAACATTATGATTGTGATTTTTGTAAAGATTGCAGTCATGTTATAAATATTTTGTTACAAAGATTGTGATACTGTTCAGAATTAACAAAGTGACATGTTTTAGTTTGCTTTAGCAATCATGGATAAATCAGGATGACCAAAAATGGACATTTCTCTTATACCTGCTTGAAAACTTGCTATTATGATAGTCTTGTAGCTTCAGCAGTTGTCCCATACCACTGCCTTTTTAAATAATTGGTATTTTAAATTATGGTACCATATGTAGAACGAATAATCATTTTCACTTAAAATTCCACTATATAATCAATGTGCTACTTTGTTTTCAAGTTCAGGAAGAAAATGTGAAATGTCAGACAGAATTGAAGACAAATTTAACAATTTTGCTAAACCTTATCATAAAATCATTTACTTGGAATAAAATTTTAATTTAGTAAGCTTTTCAAAATTGAACATATTGGAAGCAGCAAATGTAATTACTAAATGAGATTCTTGAGATCATAATCATTCTTTGCTGATGCCCTCAATGCTGCTTCCTCATTTCAATCATTTGTATAACATGCTGGCTGTGACATCAAAAGGTAAAACTCAGCAAACATTATGTCTAATTTTCCTAAAATTGTAGTATTTTATGAAGATATTTAAAAATTCAGCCAGTCAAAGGCTTGCTTTGTTTTATCTTTTAATGAGCACTAATAGATTGATAACTTTCCACCCTTTGGTAGAAAAATATTCACTATTTTACTTAAATTATATCTATTGTACAATCAAAGAATGCAAGACAAAATCCCTTAGAAACAAGACTTTTTTTCAAACTAGATAAAATATTGTGCATAAAAATTGTATATTTGCCTTTCTGGAATAATAGCAAAAAAATCAAAGATTTTATAGATTTGCTATAAGTAATAGCTCATGTATGTTGCAGAAATGTGGTAAAGAATTTGTGGTTTTATAACAGCACAGAAATGAAACATGATGCATAAGTCACTGTGCTGAACTGTATCTAGATATTTACTGATTTTCAAGAGACAATGCTTTTTGAAATGAGTTGTTCGTGACATTTCCCAGTTTTGAATTGGCTTGTGAATTATATTTGAATTTTCAGCACCTATTGTGTTTATGTTGATTTTTCTCAGGTCCAGATGAATTAAACTCTGTTAAATAACAAGCAATTTCAAAAATAAAATTAATTAATTGATTTAGAATATTGCCAAATAAAATCAAGTTCCTCAGGAATAATTAAAGTTGTGAATATTTAAAAATGCAAGATGTTAATACGTCCAAATAATTTAAAATTTATGTTTTTGATTGAAGGTCTTTGTGTATCAGTATCTTGTCCTGTTTATCGTAGTTCCAGTCTCTTTCCTCACAGTTAGCTTTACCATCTTCTTTCAGACTTTTTCTAATTTTTTTTTAACCATTGTCTTAACCTTTTTGAGCAGGATGTTGTCATTTTGAGTCCAGAATTAAGTGACATTCTGCAGTCCCATGATTAGAATTTCTTTGAAGGTAGATTCCCTCCTGACTCACTCTCAAGATGATCTGTCAGTACTGTGATGTGACACAAAGCAGCAGGTAGCTGTGAGGGTACTGTTGCACCATAGATTGGTACAAACCGGGCTACTTTGTTTTAAAGATGTTGGAAATAAAATTTGGTGGACATGAATCATTCTATCATATTAAATATTTACCACATTATAAAAATGTTTAAATTTGACCACAGTCATTTTATACATTTTGAGGTCGCTGTCTAAAACATTTTAAGTGATGACACAACAAAATGGTTAACAAGATCAATTATCAGCTAAAACATCAGATATTACTTTTGGACATAGTTTATCAGAATTTTAAGACAAATTACTTTTTAACAATATTTATCACTTTTTCATCTTTTTGTCTGATTTGTTTAAAAAGCCATTCATGTTAAAACAATGGAAAAATCTGATAAATATTACTCAAAAAGTGTTAAAAACGAGTCAAAGAAATCTTTAAAAATATTAACATAAAAACATAAAAATGTCTAAAATCTTAATACATTTTGAAAAAAAGGTTTAAAATCCATTTGCTCAAATCCATTTAACTTTTCAAAGCTCTTTTCCATGTGTGCTTTCACATCAAATATTTATAACAAGAGTGGAAAGTCCTTAACATCTGGAAATGCCAGATTTAGATGTCTTTGTGTAAAACCTTTGTTACCACTGGGCAATTTAAACATATTTGTAATCTGCTGCTGGTTGACAGAAATTGCATGGCCTAGAGAATAATGTAAATTGGCCCAAAACACCTTTCAATTCTGCACGCTACAGTGCAGCATGCTACTTCCTGGTCCACTGTGATGTTCAATAATGATGATCGTGAACACATTGTACTTCTTGGCACTGAGAATTTTTTCAGTTAAATGTTTACTGAAAAATGGCGGCAGAGGATTGGTGGAGAGATAATAACACCAATCTTTTGATTTGCATCCAAGCAATTGTGCCCAAGGCAACTCACAGGAAAATGCACATACTTACTTACCAGCATTTTTTCAGCCAAATGTCCAATGCTGACTGATTCCTGGAATCTCCATCATAGCAAATTGCGTGGGTCTAGAGAAATTGCAGGACAGGCTAAGCCACGCCATCCTTTATAGTACTAAAAACATAAGAAAAAGGAATAGGAATAGACCATTTGGTTCCTCACACCTACCTCACAATTCAACAAGATCGTGGATGATCTGCCCTGGGGCCTCAATCTCTCTTGTGCCAGCTCATCATAGCCATCAACTCCCTGATATTTCAAAAATCTATCTACCTCTTAAAATACAAGCCTCCACAACTCTCCAGGTTAGAGAATTCAAGACATTTACCACTCTGGAAGAAAAATTATTTTGCATCTGTTTTAACTAAATGCTCCCCAGTCTGAGACTTCATTGTAAGTAGAAACATCTCAACATCTACTCTGACAAGCCCCCAAAGAATCTTTCATGTTTTGATAAAATTCATTCTCCTAAACTCTAATGAATAAACACCTAACCTGTTTAGCCATTCTTGATAAGTTAACCCCGTCACCCCAGGAATCAGCCTAGTGAAACTCTTTTGAACTGAGGAAATTCTGCAACTTCTAAGGAAGGGTCACCGGCCCCAAAATGTTAACTTTGATTTTTCTTCACAGATGCTGCCAGACCTGCTGAGTTTTTCTAGCAATTTCTGTTTTTGCTCTTTTGAATTGCCTCCAACGCTTATATATCCTTTTTTAAGTATGGGACAAAAAATTGTGCACTGTACTCCAGGAGTGCCTTAACCGACACCCCTGCACAGTTGTAACAAGACTTCTGTGTTTTTGAGCTCCAGCCCCTTAGCAATAAGACCGTAATTACTTGCTGCACCTGCATACCAGTCTGTATTTCGTGTACAAGAACACCCAGATTCCTCTGCTTCTGCAATTTTTCTGAATGTGTCTCCATTCAAATAATAGTCTGCCTTTTGAGTCTTCTTCCTAAAGTATATGACATTGCACTTTGATCCATTAAAGCCCATCCACCAAGTTTTAGCTCATTCACTCAACCTATCTCTATCCCCTTACAGATTTCTTATGTCCTCATCACAGCATGCCCTCAAATTATTGTGTCATTGACAAATTCAGATACATTACACTCTGCTCTCCTCCAAATCATCAATATAGATAGTAAATAATTGAGGGCCTAGAACTGATCCTCATAGCACTCCTCTAGTTACCTCTTTCCGACCTGAAAAAGAGCTAAGAATCCCAACTTTGTCTTCTCTGTGTTAATGAATCCTTTATCCATGCTAATACATTACTCCCAATATCTTGACCTCCTGTGTTGTTCAAAAACCTTTTATGTGGCACCTCAATAATGCCTTCTGAAAATCCAAATTATACTACATGTACCGGTTCTACTACTTCAACTCTGCTTGTTATATCCTCAAAGAACTTGATCAAATCAGTAAACATGGTTTCACTTTCAAAAAATGTTGACTCTGTTTGATTGTGCTAAACTTTTCTAAATGTTCTCCTATTTCTTCTCTAGTAATGAATTCTTGCATTTTCCAAATGACAAATGTGGGGCTAACTGGCCGATAGTTTTCCTGCTTTTCATTTTCCTCCCTTCTTGTACAGAGTCATCATATTAGCAGTTTTCCAATCCACTGGATCTCTCACAGAATCCAGTGAGTTCTGAAATGTTTCAAACAATGCTTCCACTATCTCTGCAGACACTTCCTTTAAAACCCTTGACTGCAGGCCATCAGGTCCAGGTGACTCACTTGCCTTTAGTTCCATTACTTACAGAGACTTATGAGATCTTTCCTCCCATCATATCCTTACTTCTCTTATCTTTGGGATGTTTATAGGGTCCTCCACCATGAAGACCTTAGCAAAATATTGGTTTAAGTTATCTGCTGTTTTGATGTATCTCGTTATCAATTCCCCAGTTGTATCTTCCAAGGGCCCCACTCTTAGTTTAGCTATTCTTTATTTATACACCCGTTAGAAGCTCTTGGTATTTGTTTTTACATTTCTTGCCAATTTACTTTCAGAATTTTCTCCATCTATATTAACGTTTTAGTCACCTGCTGCTGGTTCCTAAAAAAAAATTCTCAATCCTTTGGCCTACCACTAATTTTTGCCACTTTAATGTCTTAGTTTGTGATAGGTTACTCTCCTTGACCGCTTTGTTAGCCATGGGTGTTTCATCCTTCTCAACGAGTCTTTTTGACCGGAATAAATTTTTGTTGAGCGTTATGGAATATCTGCTTAAATGTCTGCCACTGCTTATCCACTGACTTTCCTTTTAGTCTATTTTCCCATACGCTTTAGACAAATCTTTCTTCATACCTCCGTAATTACCTTTATTTAAGTTGCGGACATTGACTTGAGGGCTCAGTTGCTGTCCCTCAAACTGAATTTCAGGTTCCACTATATTGTGATTCTTACCTCCTAGAGGATCTTTAACTGTGAGATCTTTTATTAATTCTACCATATTACACATCACTAGATCTAAAATAGCCTGTTCCAGGGTACTTTCTGCAACATACTGTTCTAAGAAGCAATCCCTGATGTGCTCTAGAAATATGTATTCAATGTTACTCTTCCCCATCTGATTTGTCCAGTCAATATACAGATTAAAATCATCCATTACAGTTGTAGTAACTATATTAGGGAGTTCCATTCTGGTAATTAAGTTTATCTGTCCCCAGATATGGCATCGCCAGCTGGGCCAGCATTTATTGCCCATCCCTTGTTGCCCCTGAAAAGGTGATGGTGACCTGCCTTCTTGAACTGCTGTAGTTCACATGCTGTGAGTTGTTCCACAATGCCGTTAGGGAGGGAATTCCAGGATTTTGACCCAGTGACACTAAGACAGGATAGCAAGTGGCTTTTTTTAAAATTCATTCACGGGATGAGGGTATTGCTGACTAGGCAGCATTTATTGCCCATCCCTAATTTTCCAGAGGGCGGTTCAGAGTCAACCACATTGCTGTGGGTATGGAGTCACATGTAGGCCAGACCAGAAAAGGATGGCAGTTTCCTTCCCTAAAATGACAACAATGAACCAGATGGGTTTTTCTGACAATCAGCAATGGGTTTGTGGTCATCTTTAGATTCTTAATTCCAGATATTTTATTGAATTCAGATTCCACCATCTGCTGTGGCAGGATTCAAACCTGGGTCCCCAGAATGTTATCTGGGCCTCTGGATTAACAGTCCAGCGATAATACCACTAGGCCAATGCCTCCCCGTTGGAGGGGAACTTGCAGGTGGTGGTGTCACCGTATATCTATTACCTTTGATCTTCTAGGTGGAAGTGGTTGTGTAAGTGTTAGTGCAATTCTGTTTGTGTGAGTGAATAGGTGTATGTGTAATTGTTTCTGTAGAGAGTTTGTGGGTGGGGGAGGTGGTGTCCAGGTACAGTTGACCAGGAGTTAGAACTGCTTTTAATCTGTCTTGTTTCCTGATAACCTTCCAGGTAAGTTCAAACCCTCCAAAATCTCCAGCTGTAACTCAGAGTCGGGAGACCTTTTCAAGAGGGTGACAGACAAGGGTTATCGGCCATTGGAAGTTTAAACTTCCCTTGTATTCAGTGTCTCAGGACTTCGAAGGGGTTCCAAAGTAGATCTTTGGCGTATCAGGTCTCCAACTATCCCAAGACAGAAAGATCAGGGATCATGCAATTCCCATGTTCAAGAATGGGGTTGAAACAAATCCAGGAAATGAAAGAACAGTTATCTTTGCAGGGCTGATAGATAAATTAAGGGAAAAAAGGTAATTAAACTGAAAGGGAACCCAAAACTAAGATTTATAAGCTAGTCACTAAAAAGTTCAGGAAAGATGTCTTCTCCTGAGGTTGGTTTGAACGTGAAACTTGCTGGCACAAGATATGTTTGAGGCAAATATCATACATGCATTTAAGGCAAAGCTGGATAAATACATGAAGAGGAAAATAGGAAAAGAATGTGCCGACATAGATGAATAGAAGAGGATGAGAAGAAGTCCATATGAGATATAAAAACTTCTTGCGTCAAGTAGACTCTGCTGTAAAAGCTGTGTAACCCTAAATGCCAGGTTAATTTTTTATTTATCAACGAATATGTATATGTTTTTTCAATCACATTAAATTTCTGCTTCAATCAAGAATAAATACATTTAAAACTGATAAAATCTATTTCTGTAGCATCTATAACCAGTCTAACAGGTAATGGAATGACTGTTA